CACCACCCTCACCGCCACCTCAGAGTTCACCTCCACCACCACCCTCATCAAGGCCACCTCAAAATTCACCACCACCGCCTCCTCCGACCCCATCACAACTGCCTACCAATCCTCCCCCATCACCAGCATCTGTCTCACCTCCTCGAAGATCACCTCCACCGCCAGCATCGACTCCACCTGAGAATTCACCACCTCCACCAGCATCAATAGCCCCTCTTCCCAGTAATGTGCCCCCACCTCCTATGCTTACTCCTCCAACTGCAACTGCTCCTCTACCACCACCTGTCCCATCATATTCTACTCCACCAGCATTGTCACCACCAACAATAAGATTGTCTCCACCTCCACCCTCACTCGTTTCCCCGCCATCACCCACGAACAATACTGCCCCTAATTCACCCGAGAGTTCAAACTCCACAGGTAATGGGGGCATTGGTATTGGAGGTATAGTGGCTATTAGTGCAGCAATAGGAATTATAATGCTCATCCTCGTTGGATTGGCTCTCTGGTGCATAAGGAAGCAGCGAAAAGAGATTTCTGGACTGAATGGTGTTTATGTTACGCCATCTTCTTTGGGCTCTTCTCCAAGATCAGGTATATATTTCAAACAGCATTTCGCCATTTCTTCTTTAACATGTTATGACTTTTTGCAACATTATCACTCATATTCAATAAGTACTGCTATTGGTAACTCTGCCAAGAGGTTTTTTCTCTGTCACGTCCAAAACTTTCTTTGGTGTTTTTTCTCATAATTTGATATAACCTTTGCAATTTGTACCGCGTCTGATTTGCAATCAAATTTTTCTAGAGCATATCTTCTGGTTAATAGTTTAACAAATACAAAGGGTTATGTGTAAATCATATGGTCATTTTGATCTTAAAATTTAAAAGAATACAAATAATTGGTTAATTTATTGTCAGCTTACCTGTCAAGACGGTAATCTATTCCTAGCAGACTTGCACTTAATGAGATTGTTGTTAAGCACTTTGAATGATATTGTTGACAAGAACTCTAAGGCTTAAATTTGTCTCCTCAGGTTCAACTTTCACAAAGACTCGGTCTACAGCTCCCCTAATAGCAAGTGGTTCTAGCAGTGATTGTTTTTCTTTGCCACCTGAATCAAGTGGATTAGGTAATTCAAGGCCTTTGTTTGCGTTTGAAGAGCTAGTCAAGGCGACAAATGGGTTTTCATCCCAAAATCTTTTGGGAGAAGGTGGATTTGGTTCTGTATACAAAGGTTACCTTCCAGATGGGAGAGACGTGGCAGTGAAACAGCTAAAAATTGGTGGAGGGCAAGGTGAGCGAGAATTTAAAGCTGAAGTCGAGATTATTAGTCGTATACACCATCGCCATTTGGTTTCACTTGTGGGCTACTGCATATCTGAGACCCGAAGATTGCTCGTATATGATTATGTCCCTAACAATACCCTACATTTCCATCTTCATGGTAAAGCTATGTCTTATAACTGAGATTTGGCATGTCAGTTCATCAAAATGGTTCATCAGTCATGCATGTTGGTCTTTCTTTCTGTAGAGGTGGGTAGGCCAGCTCTGGACTGGGCAACACGTGTTAAGATTGCTGCTGGTGCAGCTCGGGGGTTAGCTTATCTCCATGAAGATTGTAAGTTTTTCAAGTCTGCATTTTAGTAGCTGGATAATGTTCACTCTCACTTCCAAAATGAGTTCAAGACATTATTTACCTGTTTTTTATTCTTTTTCTACACATGGCAACTGTTTTCTTAAGCTATCCACTGGTACCTGCTCTTCATTTTCAAATGTTATGATCCAACATTCACTCATAAAAAACAAAGATCTAATAACTGAAGGATTTTACAATATTCTCATCCCAAAAGCATAAGCAGAATTTCATCTTAATCAAGATTAGTATGAGCATACCAGTTTTAGTACTACTGATGTTCCTAGAGTTAACAACATGCTGATAAGAACTCGTCCATGTGATCATTGATAGATTCACTGGTTTCTCACACTAAAATATTGAATGAAAACACTTAATCGACTGCAAATGGTGTAGTAGGTATTATTCATTTGATTTACTGTTATATGTTTAGGCCACCCTCGGATTATTCACAGGGATATTAAGTCGTCAAACATTCTTTTAGATATCAACTTCGAAGCTAAGGTATGCATGGTTTTTAGCTTCTGATTATTCCAAGTTTTCCCTTTACCATTTATTGATGGTTAGTTTCAAGTAGATTGTTGTTTAAATGCTTCTAGATTTTACTTTGCAGGTTTCAGACTTTGGGCTTGCCAAATTAGCTCTAGATACAAACACTCATGTAACAACGCGTGTTATGGGAACCTTTGGGTAATAACTCATCCATTATTTGCTTAAATACCTGCCGCTACAGGGCTACCTAGAGGCACCCCTACTCTCTCTCTCTCTCTCTCTCTTTTAATCTTTTAATGCTTCAGTCAGTCGGGAGTTGATGGGAGTACTGTTTCTGAAGTACAGCTGTGTGTTATTTTCTTTTCCAGTGGAATGAACATATATCAGCCATGTCTATGTGCATTGCATCTAATGTTTAATTGATTGCTCAGATACATGGCCCCTGAATATGCATCAAGCGGCAAATTAACAGATAAATCTGATGTGTTCTCTTATGGAGTTGTGCTTCTGGAGCTAATCACTGGACGGAAGCCTGTGGATGCATCGCAGCCCGTGGGAGAGGAGAGTCTTGTTGAATGGGTAAATTGTTTGTGCACCCTGACTGTTCAGCTGATGAAAGAAAGTCTCATTCAGTTTTCATGAATTGTTGATTGTTCATTGAAGCATGCATTATAGATACATCCAATAACCTAGTTACAAGTATTAAGGGCTTGAATGATAATTTTATTGACAGATCAATTACTCTCTGTAGTGACCTCGTGCTCAGCTTTCTTTTTCTGCTGAGCAGATCTATACTATAGATGTGCCTTTTATTTCAGCATGCATAAATGATAAGCTCAATCAGATCATTTTTCCTGAAGTTGCTACTTATATGTGACATGTCGACATGGCTTAGTTGGAGTAAAAAGTTTTTATGGTTTCTGACTGCTTTGCTTTGATGCCAGTAGATGTTGCTGAAACTGTCACATTTTTTGAACATTAGTTACAAGAGTAGTAGAAACAGGGCTGCTAGATCTGTTTCGAAGAGAGTTTGTTTTAAACTTCTTATATATACCCGTAGTGGTTTAATTTAAGGAACAGATATGCTTATTTTAGAATTAGGTGGGTTATTAGGAAGATTTGCTTGATGAGTGGATGCTGTTCCTTAGTATTTGTATATGCACGGTGGGGGGAAGGGGTTCTGTGGATTGTGGCCTCTAATCATGTATAGATTTTTAACTGATGAAAATAACTCAGTACATCGAAAATTGAAAGCCATCCCAGATCTAGGACTTTTTCCGGACCTTGAATTAAACTCAGTACATAATCATGAAATTCCTCAGTGCATGAATGATAAAAAATGGGTAACTGATAAAACAAATGCACAGAGTTGAAACAATGGTATGTCTTTAAAAACTGTCTTGATGTCTTTTCATCTTCTCTGTTTATTTTGGTGGAGAATACATAATCCTGCTTTTTGTATTTTTCTTTTGTTCTCTTTTCAATAATGTAATCTCCTTTTGTATCTATAAAAAGAAAAAGAGAAGAAAAAAATGCACGTGTTCAAAGAAACAGATCTATATGTTGATCTAGTATTTGATCCTCCACAATTTTGTGCTCGAAATCTTCTCACCCAAAGCGTACCTTTTCTTTCAGGCTCGACCTTTGCTAAATCATGCACTAGAAAATGAGGAATTTGAAAGCTTGGCAGATCCACGGCTTGAAAAGAATTACAATGAAAGTGAAATGTTCCAGATGATTGAGGCTGCTGCAGTCTGTGTGCGGCATTCAGCTACAAAGAGGCCACGGATGGGACAGGTAATTGCAATTTGATCGCAGAACTAGATGAAAAATCTTGCTTTCATCATTAAATGTTCAGATTTGGAGATGGTGGGATGCATTTCTTTAAGCCTGCATATGCTTCTCAGGTTGTTAGAGCTTTCCATACCTTGGCAACTGCTGATCTAACCAATGGAATGAGAGTAGGAGAAAGTGAGTTATTTAACCCTGCACAACAATCTGAAGAAATCAGACTATTTCGAAGGATGGCATTTGGTAGTCAAAATTACAGTACAGATTTTTTTAGCCTGGATACTTAAAGAGCACATGGTAAATAGTGTTAGAGATGAATTCTTCGACAAACAGCAGCAGGACTCATGAATTTCGAGATAGCTCAAGATGTACAGGATGGTCTCCGAAATTAACTCTCTGCCGCAGGGATTGGATTTCAAGCCCTTAATACTGGTAGCCGGGTTAAATTGGTTTTCCCGCATCATAGCTGGGTTAAAAAAATATATCAGAGTGGTGAACAGTAAAACTAAGTGTTTTTAGAGTGTTTAGGTAATTGTTTTAGAAGAATAAAGGCACACCCATAATTTCTGAGCGTAAAAGGAAATGTTACATACTTCATACAAACAACCATCCAAGATAAAGGACCAAAACAAAATTCCGACAGATAGATAATGTTAGACTTACGAACCATGTAAAGTGAATGGAACCAAGTTCGGATAAGTCGAGGGAAGAGCTTGTGAAGAAAGCCATCGCAGAGACAGTTAACTAATTTTTTATAATTTCAATTCTTGAGTAGGGGAGGGAATCTTGAAGACACTTCAAAACACTCAAGGCAAGGCTTGAGGTCATACAAGCAACCAACTAGTTCCCAAGAAAAGTAGGTTTCAAGCAACATCATCTGGACGCCCTATGTTTCCCTTTACGTCCAATATTCTATTGTGTGCAATGACCCAAACTAAAAGCTATGGCTGCATTTCAGGAAATGCAGTATGTAATCTTTTAATTCATGACTAATTGCCTCCCTTTTTTTAGCTTTGCCACATATCATTCTGTTTGCTTTACCCTTTCTGATTACCCTCAAATAAGGACAAGGAACGTATTCCCTATCAAGACATGCCTTCATCAACCATTCTTCATTATCAGCATCATCCCCTTCCTTCTTCCATCTTTGACATCCATGGAAGATTTGAACATCATGCCTTCATCAACCATTCTTCATTATCAACATCATCCCCTTCCTTCTTTGACATCCATGGAAGATTTGAACATGCTGGCCGCAGATTGTGTAGTCATATCTTGTTGCTGCCAATGCTTGATACTACAATCGATCATATTCGTCTTGCTCAAACTTCCCCGCAAAGTCATTCAGAAGACCAGAGCATATGCTAAGAAGAAGCTTTGGCACAGAAAGAAAGAGAAGATATTAGAATCGGTCAGGGGTGGGTTCCAGGACAGTTTTGATAAATTTCTAGAAGGGTCTATAGAAATCCCAGTAGATGACTTCCGTGGAGGGCATGATTGTGAGAGCTGCATCGAGGAAGTTGAGGAAGTCTTGGAAGGGTTTTCTCAGAAGGGGGAGTTTGCTTTCGGAAGCTTTTGGGGTAGGGTTGTATCAGGAACCTCTCCAGCATGCATAGTAGCTGTGCAGGAATTTGATTTAAGTTTTGCACAGTTTGAAGTGGTTGAAACAATCAGTACATCTTTCACGCATTCATATTAATAAAGCAAAAAAGTAAGTTCCATTTCCAATTTATTGTATATATCCGTAGTAGTTCCACTTGATTAGAAATCTGCATCCAAGCCATTCTTTACTCATCATTAGGCTATTTTGCTCTTACATGAACAATGAGACTATTTCAACAAAAAAAAAAACAATGAGACTAGAATGCCGATATCGGAAAAATACAATTTCAGTACCCTTAATCATAAAGGATAAATGTGGTGATTTTCTAAGAAGGTTCCAAGCTGCATTGGACATGCAATAATTCTCCACAATTAATGTCGTGGGGGTGTGTTGGAATGAGAATCATTTCAGATGGGGTTTGATTAATGGTTGGTTCTAAGAACTGGCTTGATTTCCTGAGTAGTTTTTGCTTGTCAACTACTGACCACAAAATGCTCTGAATCTCTCAGAAATATGAACATTCAACGGGAGAAATAACTTTCAACCCTTGCTACCCAGGACAGTCCATTCAATAAAACAATAAGGATATATTTAATCTAGTTTCTGCACACTAAGATTAAATCTTTCTTTCTGTTGAATTTTAAGCAAGCATATACATATTCGTTGTCATTTTTCTTTCATCTTCAATCTTAAATGACAACATGGAGAACAAATATAGTTGGCAAGTGCTAGAATGAACATTTTAACAAGCAGGCTAGTTCTCCAAGGATATACCTCCAATCCACGTGCCCTCATGTGCACAAACACATTTTCAGAAACTTCAATACTTAAATACCTTTGCTCTTTTTATCCCCACATAACACGGCAATGATATAAAAGCGGTTTTGATTTGAACCATTCCAGTATTCCAAGTCTTCAAGACAACACACACAAGAAAAAAAAGAAAAATTAAGCCCCGCATCCTTGGCCAGCCAAAATACAGATACACAAAAAAAAAAAAAAAAAATTCCTTTCCTTTTCTTTCACCTCCTCCATTTCCAGCCATGATGGCAACCCTTCAGACTGATCAGTTCAAGGAAGTCTTCATGCGCTTCGATATGGATTCCGAATTTCCTATGGCAGCCTTACGCAGCTAGAGCTCGCTGCTCTTCTACGTTCTCTTGGCCTCAAACCTACAGGTTATCAGCTTCATGCTTTGTTATCTAACATGGGTGCTAATGGCAATGGTCACGTTGAATTTGATGAGTTGGTTAATGCTATATTGCCTGATATGAATGAAGAAGTCTTGATCAACCAGGAGCAGTTTTTGGAGGTATTTCGATCATTTGATAGGGATGGCAATGGATTCATTGCTGCTGCTGAGCTTGCAGGATCGATGGCTAAAAGGGGACAACCTTTGAAATATCGTGAGCTATATCAGATATGATGAGAGAGCTGACACCAATGGAGATGGTGTTTTGAGGTTTGACGAGCTTGCAAACATCATGGCTAAATCCGCTGCTGATTTTCATGGCATCAAAGTTCCATAGAGCATGATGGGAATAGTCTTATTAATACATGGACATAGACATTGGGAACTGCAATATCCATTAATGTGTCGTTAGCATCATTGATGGTTTGAGATGATCCTATGACCTTTTATTTTATTTATTTCTTTATTTTTTTCCATTTGATTTTTCTTGTAATTTCTTGTGTGTGTAAATGTAATTTTTTCTAAGGTCTGGTCATGGGATTCCTGTGAACAAGATGGAAGGAGGAGGAGAGACCTGAATCCCATTTGAAACAACTATTAACACAACTTATAGATTGTATAATGTTATATTTATTGTAGTGGTTGGTATTATTTACAAAACGAAATAAAATGAAAATAACATTTTATCTACTAGTTTCCAAGATTTTCTTCACCAATTTTTCTGCTACACATGACATTACTGGCGGCATCACCAATCCATGAAAGTATGGAAACCGGATGCGATATCATTCGAGGTCCAGGGTCCGCAATTGAGAAAGAATTCGGCCTCTGAACGCACGAAACTGGATCCAATGATCCACGGGCAAAAGGGTAGTTGTTAGTCTGTAAATGGATTGCTATGAATAAGACCATGGGATACAAACTCTACAACTGAAAATAGAACTATGGTTATGGCAATGTACGATGTTTTTTTTTAAAAAATCCATGTTGGATAAGAGAACGATATCTCACTTCTATATGCTTCTTATGGATCTGGATTATCTTCTCTTCTAGAAATTCAAGTGGAGATAATTGGTTTTTATCAAAAGTTGCTGGGTGATATGGATAATGCAGTTTCCGGTGAAAGGGTGGCTTTTTTTTAATGCATCTTGAATAAGAGGCTTTCTTATCATTTGAAGCAATATATGATTGCTGATGTTACTCCTGAATTTAAGAAAGTCAAGTTTTCTCTAAAAAGTAACGAGGCACCTGGCCCTGATGGATTCTCAGCTGATTTATTTAAGAAATCTTGGAATATTGTCGGTGAAGACGTTGTTGCAGCTGTATCTAATATCTTTCAACAAAGAAAGTTGCTTAAAGCAGTAAATTCCACAGTTATTACTCTTGTGCCAAAAAGGCCTATATCTTGCTGCACAGTTTTATATAAATGCATCGCTAAGATACTAGCCAATAGGCTAAGAGTTTTCCTTCCTTATCTTTTTAGTTTAAACCAGTCTGCATTTATATATGGCAGGAGAATAGGAGATAACATATTGATTGCTCAGGAAGTGGTGAAAGCCTATCTTAGGAAAAATATGCCTCCCAGTTGTGCTCCCAAAGTGGACTTGATGAAAGCTTTTGACTCCGTACGTTGGGATTTTCTGTTTAATTTCTTAGAAGCTATTAATATCCCTGCTAAATTCATTGCTCGGATCAAGGCTGTGTTACAACTCCATCTTTCTGTATTGTGGTTAATGGAAGCTTGCACGGATATTTTTTCTGGCAGTCAAGGATTGAGGCAAGGAGATCCATTATCTCCGTACTTGTTAGTATTTGCCATGGAGATTCTATCTTGCCTACTAAATAGATCAGTTATGGGAGGCCAACTGTCTAACCATCCCAAATGTAAAAAGATCAATCTTACTTATATGTGTTTTGCATATGATTTAATGATCTTTACAACAGGAACAGTGAATTCTCTCGGAAAAGTTGCTGACATCCTTCATCAATTCTATTGGTTATCTAGATTAAAGCGCAATCCTTTGAAGGGCAAATTTTCTGTGCTGAGGTAGATGCTTCTATATCTCATTGCTGGTTGTTACTGGGTTCAAGATTGGTAAACTGCCTGTAAAATATTTGGGCTGTTCCGTTAATTACGAAAAAGCTGGCTTATACAGATTGCAAGCCTTGACTAGACAGAATATCTTCAAGACTTCAGAAATGGGCAAAAAAAATCTTTCATTTGCTGGAAGATTACAGTTAATATCATCTGTCATCTTTAGCATTCAGAACTATCCGTGTTGTTGCCAGCATGAGTAATGAAGGTTACAGAGCAGCAGCGTAATGCTTTTTTATGGAAGGTCAAAGAGGGGCCTGCCAGAGGAGCTAAAGTTGCTTGGAGCAAAGTTACGTTGCCCAAGCACGAGGGTGAATTGGGGGTAAAAAAGATCAAAGAATGGAATGTTGCCTTCATTTTTAGATGTATTTGGATTTGTTTATGAAGGCAGGATCTCTATGGGTAGCGCGGGTGACTGTTACTAGATTGAAAGGGAGAAGCTTTTGGAGTATGAAAATAACAGGGGACTCCACCTGGTATTGGAAAAGGCTTCTCAAGTTTAGAAAGTTTGTTTGGGATCAAATTCACTACATTGTGGGAGATGGAAAAACTACTCAACTGTGGTGGCATCCAGATGGTGTGTTTGTTAAATCCTATGGATAGAGGATACTGTTCGAATCTGGAATTCTGTTTAATGCTAAGTTGTTAGCGGTCTTGAGAGATGGCAATTGGGTATGGCCTAGTTTCCTTTCTGAAGCTTTGCTTAGACTGCAAATGGCTATATGTGGGTGCTATATATCCTGATCATTTGTCTGAGGATAAGGTGCTTTGGGGAACTATACAAGGCAGAGATACTTGAGGAAGCTCATCTGAATCCTAGTTTTTCTTGTATTTGTAATCAGTGGATGTTGTTATAGCTAGTTGATATAAAAGATGTACGTGCAGCATGCTGATGGCCTAAACTTTGTAGTAGGATGAACTCCTACTTGTCTCTTTTTGGATAAATTAAATCTTCATTTATCGTGAAAAAAAAAAGGCACGGTGTTTTATTTTTTCTCCTTTTTTTTGGATATTGATGTCGGTTTCATGCACATACTGATGATGGCCGATGGCATGCATTTATCCGTATAACTTACATCCACAGAAGCCACTCGATCCTGGTTTTGTATATTTTTTCAGTAACGAAGCAACTGTATGATGTAAATTATGCCCGTTAATCGATTTTCTGTTCTGATGATCCCTGCATTCTGCAGAAATTGACTGAACGGGCTCTTAAGAGTTGAATACAAAATGCTAACCAAATGCGAGAGATGGAAAGAGAATCTACAGTGACGGTATAAATTGATAAAGAAAACATAATATGGAACAAATTGACTCATTTAAAACTCAAACCTGAACCACTGATACTAGGGCCAAAGCTTTTGTTCTCCTAGCTTTGAAATCAAACCAGGGAGACAAGAAAGTTCATTTACAAGCTCCGCTCCCGCAGTGGTGTTTCTTGGAGAAAGAACAGGCAATTTTATTGCCATATTTTTTTACCAGGGAAACAACATTATAACCAAGAGCACCAAGATGGAGAAGAGAAATGGCAATATTTCCGAGAATTTCAAGCCCCGATCACTGATTATTGCAAATGTTCAAGCCAGAATAAGAGGGTGTTTGGCCGCCTGCTGTTTTAACTTTCTGACTGCAATTAAAAGCAAGACGTCCGCTGTGTGCTTCATGAGATTCAACAAATTTACCAAGCCCAGAGAAACAGAGACGGGAAAATAAAAACCTACTCCATGAGTTGTAGTCAATTAAAAAGAATCCATGTTTATTAAGAAGCACCAACAAATAATGAACTGAATAGAGCTACAAATTACAATAACAAAGAAAGTTTATTCTTATAAACAGCAATGCAATCCAGATCTACTACGAATTCCCTTGTTTCCTACATACATTGTAAAATAATACA